TATATATATATATATATATATATATATATATATATATATATATATATATATATATATATATATATATATATATATATATATATTGTTTTTTTGTTTGTTTTTTTTCCTCTAGGGTCATGACTGATCAAAGCTTTTCCTCTTCAACAGATCCGGTTGAGGGACACTGGGATAGGTGAGGCTGAGCTGTTGGCCAAGCGTCCCCTCAACTGTGAGAAGCGGAAGAACTACAAGTTTGACATCACTGCCATCTCCTGCAGTGGTGTTGAATCTCAGAAGTAAGTCCACACATCTTTCTCCACTTCTGGGCTCTGTTAAAGTTTAGCTCTTTGTTAAAGCTCCAATACTTACTTGCTTACTTCATCCTTCATTTATCTGTTGTGACAAAATGTTATATGTTAAATTATCCTCTCAACCAGGTACAGTATATAATATGAAAGAACTTTATAGCAGGTAACTCACATCACTATGGGGATGATAGATAAATTGTACAGTACAGTACAGTATGCAGGCTCTAATACCATGAGTTTCATTAAGACTACCAAGTGAATACAGTGCACTGTACTGTACCTGTATAAGTACCATACCTCATAGGCCTGTAAGATAAAAACATAATTTTCTCATAATTTTTTCACGTAGGTTGATTCAACACCTTGATTGTGTTATCAATGTTTCATGAATCATAAAGGTACTGCACAGTCACTAGCAGTAGTTTGCGACACTCTTTCTCCACCCACTCTGACAACGACCGTGGCATCATATTAATAATAATAATAATAATAATAATAATAATAATAATTAACAGTTTATTGAAAAAGTTCTGCAGCCCGAAGGCTGAAAATATACATTGGACATAAATGACTTATTACATACATTGGTGGTTTAACAAAAGCCTTCATTAGAGAAAGGTAAAGGAACATACAGTGAACATACAGATTAATGTACGTGTTGAACAGCAAATACGTAGTGTAGTAACTCCCTCCCAGATGGTGTTAGGAGGGACCTCACGTGATGTAGTGGTTCCCTCAGATGGTGTTATGAGGGACCTGACGTGGTGTAGTAATTCCCTCGCAGATGGTGTTATGAGGGACCACGTGGTGTAGTAATTACCTCACAGATGGTGTTATGAGGGTCCTCACGTGGTGTAGTAATTCCCTCACAGATGGTGTTATCAGGGACCTGACGTGGTGTGGTAATCCCCTCACAGATGGTGTTATGAGGGACCTGACGTGGTGTAGTAATTCCCTCACAGATGGTGTTATGAGGGGGCCTCACGTGGTGTAGTAATTCCTTCACAGATGGTGTTATGAGGGTCCTCACGTGGTGTAGTAATTCCCTCACAGATGGTGTGATGAGGGACTTGACGTGGTGTAGCAATTCCCTCACATATGGTGTTATGAGGGACATGTGGTGTAGTAATTCCCTCACAGATGGTGTTATATGAGTGAGGTTTGGTCCCAGGCCTTCCTATCGTAGACGGATTAACACATCGCTGGTTATCACGGGCCGTTATCACTGGGTACCTGGGACCTCACTGTGTGAAGGTTAACTTGGGTACGACTGTTACTGTTGAGTTGTTCTCACTGACTTAAGTACTGTTCACCACTGTTCACCTCTGTTTAACACTGGTTCCATTCCTTTCCTAAATGAAATTGTAACTTCTGGCGAGAACTTGTTGATATTCCGGTGGGGAGGAGGGTTCAGGGGAAGGGGTTGGTATGGGCCAACTTAACAGTTGACCTGGCTGCTCCGAGAGGAGCGCCAGGTACGTCTTGACCCTTCGGTGGTCAAGGATGTGTATATGCCAGGGAGGTGTGTATATTGCTCTAATTTTCTCTAAAATTGGTTGAAAAGTATGGTGGAGGAGAAGTTCCACCACATACTGGCAATAGAACTGCAATATGCAGAGAGTGTCGCATCACTATTGCTCGTGACTGTACTGTACAGTACAGTGCAATGTTGACTTTTAAGTGACTAATTTACCTCTATAATATAAGTACTGGAATACAATTTTACCAGTATGTAGGATTTTATTCCTATTGGACACCAAATAAAATGAGATTAAGGGAACAGCCTAAGAACGCTTAGAGTAGAGGACTGTGGTCGCCAACCCTCACATATGAGGACGGTACTCTGATTAACTGAAGATGATACAGTAACTCCTAACCTTCCTCTTGGCTATTACAGTAATGCTATACTGTACAGTATAGGTACAGTGTAAAGGAGTAATGTTCACTTTTTTCCACAGTGTAACAGTGCATGTGAAGGTGAATGACGTAAATGAGTATGCACCAGTGTTTATTGAGCCATCATACGTTGTGGGAGTTGATGAGGGCCGCCTGTATGAGGAGATCCTCACTCTGCAGGCTGATGACCAGGACTGTTCACCAAAGTTTGGAGACATTTGCCGCTATGAGCTCCTCACCAAGGATCAGGTGAGTCTTGTGGCTTAGCAAGTTTATTATTATTGGGGAAAGTTTTTTCATAATAATGATAATTGACAATTGCATTTGTGGCAATGATTTTTGGATTATGTGAAGATTAGGCACCCTAGCTTATTTCATCAGAGGATTAAACTCCCTGACTCTAACCTTACCTTACCCCCAGGCAACATTAGGGAGCTTAACCATCAGGAGAATTAAGCTGAGGTGCCTAATCTTCATGTGATCTTAATTTTCTGGTAACTTTTAGGGAAACTTGGAAATATGAGACTAAATACTAGGAAGAGTGATGATTCATACGTTGATAATACAGTAAACTATAAACGAAACTAGTGATGAAGTAGAGAAGGGAGATGGAGAAATATATATATATGGTATTAGCTCAAACTAACATGCAATAGAGGGTGTAGAGTATCGGATATCTGGGAATGGTTCTGTCAGCAGATAGATGAGTGATGATTTGAACCAGAGTAATACAAGGAGAGGAAGTATTGGGGAACTGAGACTTGTATAAAGGGAGGAAATCTTGTCACCAGAGGCAGAGATGGAGTGTGCAGGGAAATTTTTTAAAGTCAATACTATGTTATGAATGTGATGCATAGACTCTGGATACAAGAGGAATTATCAAATTAGAAGTAAAAAAAAAAAGGGACAGACTTGAGAGTAACGTGGGGGTGAATAGGATGCTGAGAATAAGAGTGACAGAAGTTTGGATTTTTTTTATACGAGATACAGTATATGGCATTGTATCAGTGGAGTCATGTAATGTCTGTAGAAGTACCTGTAAAAGAAATGTTTACAGAGAACAGCTCAGGGTCTACTCTGGGAATATGAACATTTTGAGATAATGGGAAGTGGGAAAGCTAGTAAAAAAATATATATATATAATTCCGAGGTAGATGAAAGGCTGAACATCCAGGAAGCAGCAAGAGTGCATGAATGAGTGGGGAGCGGGACATCAAGTGATTTTAGGGGAACGACATGATGCTGATGGGTGATGCTGGCTTGTGTGAAAGGACGTGATGAAACCAGCTTTAGGGCCTTGTGGAAGGGGAGAGCCATAGCTGAACACAGAAGTAAAAATGAATTATTGACAATGAGTAAAGGGAAAAAAAAAATATGTATTTGCTCTTTCCAACTACCGTGCATTAAGCAGGAAAGGGGTTGAGAGAGTTAAATGAAAAATTTTAATTGTTTAAAGGCTCTGAACTCATGCAGGCATGAAAATATAGTCTGTGTAAAATACAGTACAGTATTTACATAAGCAAATTAGCTCTAGGAGTAGGGATTAGGGAGAGACCAAGTAGAATGACAGCTAGAGGAAGTGGGGTGTAGTCTCTGATGAAGGTATATACAATATGCCAGCCATGTGTATATTCATTTGTTCCTTCCAGCCCCACCCTCCTGTAACATGTTAAATACTGTATCAGACATTGACTGGCTGTAGAGAAAGTTTGATAAAGGTTGAATGATTTTGGAATTAGTTTCTATCATACAGATACATATACTGTATTTTGTTTGATGGTACAGTAGTTGTGTTTTCATTTATAGTATCATGAGAAGTTGTGGTGGTAGCTGTAGAAGTTACATACATTTTTAATACTGTACAGTACAAGTTAATGAATTGGAAGATGAATTGGAATACAGAAATTGAGAAATAATGTGAGCAGAAATAGGCAGGGTGGTCATGTAAGATATTGTACTGCATAAAGGAAGATGAAATGCAAGACTGTTGTAGTAACTAGCTGTTGGAAAATGAAGGAATATGAATTTGAATCAAAGTAATGGTCTCTTTATCAGAAAACACATTTGTGATATATCATAGAATGAATTCATTGTGAGACATTTCACTTATTGGTTTAAGTTTAAATGTAAAGAGAATGAATGAATAGAGCAACAGATTTTTGCAATTAATTAAGGTTCCAGAAGTGTATACTGTACTGAGTAATTTACTGAATCACCGAATAATGGGAGTTAACTTAAACTTTTACAATGTACAGTAAGTCTTCAATATTAAGTACAGTAAGATCTTGTATTTCGCGAGTATTATAGACTGGAAAAATTGTGCCAAATTCAAATTCGCCAAATGCAAATACATAAACTAATGGGAAAAATAACAATATTGACTGGCCACTCTACATCAACCTCTGATTTTCCCATTTATAACCTCCAAATGATACAAATTCTGCCTTTATTGACCTGATTGTGCTTTCCAGAAACTAGTTTTTAGGCCATCCTCAAGTAATTTAATCACACGCTGCTTATCCTGCGTCGAGTACTTGGTAAACTCAACTCCCTTATGATAGTCCCGCTTCGCCTTTTCCTTATTTGGCCCCTTAGGTAGGTCTGTCCCACCCCCACCAGCACCAGTAGGACCCCCAGTAGAGGTAGAGGCCATTATCTTGACTCGACAGGTGGTAGCTCCACCCATAAAAGCACACAATAGCAGCCCGGTCGGTCATTAGGATGGCACGGGCTACAACGCATAGTTGCGTTCTTGTAAACCTCTTTTGCGTTCACCACCGGCAATTTGATCACCAGAACGCTTCTTGGAAACATTCTTACCTTGTCTTTCCGTATTCATCGCTAACACAACAAAATTGGAGAAAATAGCGAAAATCACGGAGTAATTGACATAAACCGCGCGATTCAACTGATCACGTGTTGTAAACAGAGAGCGCTGGTGTAAACCGTTATTAGTCCTCACTACGGAACATTCTTTTTACTTATTTTTTTTCATGCAGTATTTATGGGAAACAGCTAAATTTACAAAAAAGAACAAACTTTACAGTATCTCATAAAACACTTCACAAGCAAAAGACGTGAATCAATTGAACATGTGATGTCGAACGTGAACTGTAAACATTGCATAATCCCTCACCATGCTTAAAACGTTGAGGATGGAATAAAAACATTGAGGATGGAATCGCGCTATAGCCAACATTCGTATGCAAAAGTTCATGTTTTACAAACAGCGTTTCCCTATTCATCAATCACGTTACAACCAATACGCGTTGACAAAACACGTGTTGTAGCAGAAATGACTGTAACTGGTATGAGGGGCTGTGACGTCATTCAAGACGGTGGCCAGCATTCAGCTGGCTGGATCTCACAAAACTCATGATATTTTATGCCAAATATAAGACTTGGTTACATTAGGTAGTGCGCGCGAAATTCAAAAACGCGAAATGAAATCGCGCGCCTTATGAAATCTTACTATAGATGAAATAATTTTAAGCTTCATATGTTAGTGTCAATTTTTCTTTGTATAGTCCTTCCTTTTTTTATTTATACTCCACTAACTAATCATCTTATTTCTATCCCCCACAGCCATTCAGTATTGACAGCGAGGGTGTGGTCCGGAACACAGAGTCCCTCGATTATGAGAAGTCTCACAACCACATCCTCTCGGTGGTTGCCTTTGATTGTGGGATGAAGCGCTCTCAATCTGTCATGGTGACAATAAAGGTCAACCGTGTGTGTCACTTGGGTTGGAAGGGTAAGTGTTTGATAAGATGATAAGGGTTCTTGTGGTGTAAGTTGCTCCTTGAATACACATATACCATAGCAGATGAAGTGCCTGGTAATACAGTTTAGTACCTCACAAACTGCTGATTCTCAACACCAAATTTTGTATGACTGGTGTAGGTCTTAGTCCATTATACAAGTGTATCTAAACCACCTTGAATCTGCCATGACTGTGTACCGACACACACACACACACACACACACACACACACACACACACACACACACACACACACACACACACACACACACACACACACACACTGGAACCAAATTTTTTATTTTGGTTTTAAAAGGTTGATGCTGCCAACTCTACCATGTAAACACCATCTTTTTCTCTTAAGTCGCCGTACTTGGTCATGTAGTGAAGGAAACACACAGGGAACATTTTACCTTTGTGCTGAAGAGTATGAGGGCACTCAAGCTGAGTAAAACACTGATTTTGCTTCAATAAAGATGAAAGGATGAGCTGGTGCTTCTGGAGATGAAAGTTTGGACTACATTTTGCAGATGAATCTTTGGACTCACTACAGTAGAGGTAAAAGTTTAGACTTGCTACAGTAGAGGTGAAAGTTTGGACTTGCTACAGTAGAGGTGAAAGTTGGATTTGCTACAGTATAGGTGAAGTTTGAACTTGCTACAGTAGAGGTGAAAGTTGGATTTGCTACAGTAGAGGTAAAAGTTTAGACTTGCTACAGTAGAGGTGAAAGTTTGGATTTGCTACAGCAGAGGTGAAAGTTGGATTTGCTACAGTAGAGGTGAAAGTTTGGACTTGCTACAATAGAGGTAAAAGTTTAGATTTGCTACAGTAGAAGTGAAAGTTTGGACTTACTACAGGAGAGGTGAAAGTTTGGACTTGCTTGCAGGAGAGGTGAAAGTTTGGACTTGCTACAGTAGAGGTGAAAATTGGACTTGCTACAGTAGAGGTGAAAGTTTAGACTTGCTGCAGTAGAGGTGAAAGTTTAGACTTGCTGCAGTAGAGGTGAAAGTTTAGACTTGCTGCAGTAGAGGTGAAAGTTTGGACTTACTACAGGAGAGGTGAAAGTTTGGACTTGCTGCAGTAGAGGTGAAAGTTTAGACTTGCTACAGTACAGGTGAAAGTTTAGACTTGCTGCAGTAGAGGTGAAAGTTTAGACCTACTACAGTACAGGTGAAAGTTTGGACTTGCTACAGTAGAGGTGAAAGTTTAGACCTACTACAGTAGAGGTGAAAGTTTAGACTTGCTACAGTAGAGGTGAAAGTTTAGACTTGCTGCAGTAGAGGTGAAAGTTTGAACTTGCTACAGTAGAGGTGAGTTTAGACCTACTACAGAAGAGGTGGTTTGAACTTGCTACAGTAGAGGTGAAAGTTTAGACCTACTACGGTAGAGGTAAAAGTTTGGACTTGCTACAGTTGAAAGTTTAGACCTACTACAGTAGAGGTGAAAGTTTAGACTTGCTACAGTACAGGTGAAAGTTTAGACTTGCTGCAGTAGAGGTGAAAGTTTGAACTTGCTGCAGTAGAGGTGAAAGTTTAGACTTACTACAGTAGAGGTGAAACTACAGTTAGACTTGCTACAGTAGAGGTGAAAGTTTAGACCTACTACAGTAGAGGTGAAAGTTTAGACCTACTACAGTAGAGGTGAAAGTTTAGACCTACTACAGTAGAGGTGAAAGTTTAGACTTGCTGCAGTAGAGGTGAAAGTTTAGACTTGCTGCAGTAGAGGTGAAAGTTTAGACTTGCTACAGTAGAGGTGAAAGTTTAGACCTACTACAGTAGAGGTGAAAGTTTAGACTTGCTACAGTAGAGGTGAAAGTTTAGACTTGCTACAGTAGAGGTGAAAGTTTAGACCTACTACAGTAGAGGTGAAAGTTTGGACCTACTACAGTAGAGGTGAAAGTTTAGACCTACTACAGTAGAGGTGAAAGTTTAGACTTGCTGCAGTAGAGGTGAAAGTTTAGACTTGCTGCAGTAGAGGTGAAAGTTTAGACTTGCTACAGTAGAGGTGAAAGTTTAGACTTGCTACAGTAGAGGTGAAAGTTTAGACCTACTACAGTAGAGGTGAAAGTTTAGACTTACTACAGTAGAGGTGAAAGTTTAGACTTGCTGCAGTAGAGGTGAAAGTTTAGACTTGCTGCAGTAGAGGTGAAAGTTTAGACTTGCTACAGTAGAGGTGAAAGTTTAGACTTGCTACAGTAGAGGTGAAAGTTTAGACTTGCTGCAGTAGAGGTGAAAGTTTAGACTTGCTGCAGTAGAGGTGAAAGTTTGGACTTGCTACAGTAGAGGTGAAAGTTTAGACTTACTACAGTAGAGGTGAAAGTCTAAGTGTCCTGTCATAGATAAAAAAAATATTAATTCTGTTTTACCATTTACAGGATGTTTCATACAGTAAAGAAATGAGGAAATTGATAAGTTGTGATAACTAAAACATTAAATTAAACCAGGAAATGCTTTGAAGTGAATATGATTAATACTATGTAGTGAATATATTTGGATGTGTGAGAGAAATACCTTCCTACCCTCAGACACATGTAACCTGGAGCCATCTGAGTGTTGTCTACCTAGTTAATTCTACAAATTGTCAAGGGAATTTGCATTGATATTTGATACATAGGAGTTTTGGTTAGTCCACATGATATTTTATTTTTTTTACCCTGTGTAAGGAAATCATGATTACAGATGGGAGAGTGTAATCCATTATATCAAGGTTTAATTAGATGTGAAACCTCCATATAACACACTACAGTATATAAGAGTGCAATCTATTATATCAAGGTTCATTTGATATGAAACCTCCATATAGTAATGGACTATACCCATTAGATTGATGTCAATTAAAAGGAGGTTTTATTGTACTGTATTGTGTCATTCATAAAAGAGATGCATTAGTGGGTTCAGTTGGAAGGTTCTTTATAAAGTACTGTATGGGGCCAACAAGAAGTTTTGATGTACTGGTACTGTAGGCTTACTTGGTCACATATACAGTGGTACAGTAATACAGTAGTTTATTCATGATAGGCTGAATTAAAGTTAAGACTACAAAATGGACTGAATTCTTCACATATTCTTCTGTAATTGTGACTCTTGTTAGTGTGTTTTGTATGTAATTGTTTCACTTAGTGGAGTTACAAATATTTCAGTTTAGGGTTACCGGTAATTTACTTTGAGACACAATGCAGAATACAGATTACAGTATTACTAAAATTGTCTGCATAAATGTAAATGATCATTATTAATGTAGGTAAGTGAAATATGATCATGGGGGAAAGAATCTTTGAATGGATGTTATTAAGATTTTGTGCCATCAAAAATTTTGGTACGGTAGAAAAACAATCCATTTCGAGTTGTTATTTTTGTTTAGAATGTTCACTGGGCCGCTGGATATAATAATTGTTATCCATCTGTTTTTGACATAATTCTGCATATTTCCAGGTATCCCCGATCAGGTAGAATACTCACCTGGCTCTGGACGTCTCGAGTTGTTCCCATCATCATCATTGGAGTTGTGTAATGTCCCATGCCACGTGGAGCGCGTTCAGTCTCGCATCGGCCTAACCACCAGCCACATTGGCAAGGGCTGTGACCGTGATACTTATTCCGTGGCAGCTCAGAGGAAGATGTGTGGTGAGTTCTGGCACTTGTTTACTGATGTTAATGTTATGTGACTAAGATGCAGGTAAAAAATTATCCTCTGATGTGTGATTATCATTATAACACTGTAATTGTCTGAATATTTAGTACTGTAGTACCTATTAAGTATGTGAAACTTTAAATCATTGAAAAGTACAAGTGGTTACTCTGGAAGACATGGGAGAATACATTGGTGAAAATTTCTGATTTAGATAAAAACTTGTACTGTATTTCTCTATCCATGTGACCCCCAAGATGTTTGTGATCATCAATAACATTCCTTTAAATAACACAGGAGCAAGTTCTGACAGCATTGAGCTCCTTCCTGCCCCTGGAGTTGGCAAAGACTGGACTGCTGGCCTACATTCAGATGAAGGCCACGAAGGGGACCTCATCTATGAGTTTGAAGGCGACTCCTCCGGGGCCATGGTACCTGAGTCCGTCCTTGACCACAACCTGACCAACACCTTCACCATCTCCACCTGGCTCAAACACAAGTCACACCCAAACATGGACAAGGTGAGTGTTATTTGATCTTATCACTGGTTCTTATCTGCCCTTCTTATTACCTTATACGTAACTTAAAGATTAATTTTGGAAATGAATATCATTGTTGTACTACTGAAGATGTTCCCTTGACAATAGTAGAATGTACTCCAGTCTTTATGAATGCATCTCAAAGTGACCCATAATATTGCTGAGTGTTGGGAAATTACCAATTTAAATTCTATGAATTTATAATTACTGCAGCAGAGTACCAGACGGAGGGATCTGTTCTCCAACAAATTCAAGCAACTAGTTTTGAGGACCAATTCTAAGCTCATACACATTCTAGAGTAAACTACAGTAGTGTTAACAGTTTTGTAGAAATTAATATGTGTCTTCTCTTGGTTCAGTTTAATTTTTAGCATGACAAGCACTCAGAAAGTTGTTTCTTGTTTAGTAAATTTTTGTATGTAAAACAATTCTTCATACAAAATTCAATCATATGTATAAATTTTGAAATGTCATGTATATACTGTATACTACCTTTGTCATTATCACATACTGTATCCCATTTTAATTTAGCATACAAAGGAACACATCCTGTGCAACGCTGATGACCACAAGATGAACCGCCACCACACAGCATTGTTTGTACGCAACTGTCGTCTTATTCTCCTACTGCGCCGTGAGTCCACTGAGGCCAACCTCAACACCTTCCAGCCAGCAGAGTGGCGGTGGAAGCTTCCTCAGGTGTGTTGTACTCATGTGTTTGCATACTTACATGGACTGAGTGAAAGAATAAAATGAAGGATATATTTTCACCACAAGGGGTTATTGGCCAAATCATTTATTTAATGGTTTGTCTTTTTCATTCTTACTTTCTTATATTTAATATATATCATTTAATGTTTACTAAACAGTAAAATTTTACATATTTGTGAAAGTTTAAGTAATCTTGCAATGAAACTAAGAACAGTTTTTTTTTAAGTATTTACAGTTCATAAACCATTCCTGCTGTCTCATCATACATTGATCAGAGACTTTTAAATAAATTACCAGTAAACCAGCAGCCTGTAGGCACTCATCTTGTTACACTGTTGCTACTTCTTAATTGTCTGTACACTATTATGTAATGACAATGAGACAGAGTAGTGATGGAGATTATTATTGTTCAGGTGTGTGACAATGAGTGGCATCACTACTCCGTACACGTCAAGTTCCCAGAAGTGACCCTGTATGTTGATGGACACATCTTCCGACCAGAGAACGGAGAGTCCCCTGAGGTAAGTACAGAAAGTACAGTATTGTATAAAGTGTTGTAGTTAAATTTTTTTTAGCTATTTATCTGTCATATTCTGTTATGGACATGCTGGTCATTGCATCCAGATTTATTGGACATTAATGTGATGCTGTTGAGTAGTACAATAACATACAGTATTTTGTTCTCATTAACCATTCTGCATGAGATACTGTGTACAGGTTTGTAAGTGTTAAGCAGCAGGATATTTACTAGTACCTGTACTGATAGACAGGGTTGATGTAGCTACTCCTACCATACTCTATAAAACCGTGGTTGAGGAAAGAGGTCAAGAGACTTGGATGGGTCAGTGACTGTTCCTGTATACAGTATAAAGATATTTTAAAAATCATTTAGAAATAGAGAAGGTAAAGTTATTTAGGTTAGCGGTAAGTATAATGATACAAGATGTAGTACAATAAGAGATGAATCAGAGAGGATTTATCTCACAGTGAACAAATAGGGAGGATCATTGCATGTGATTTTGAGAACTGTATGAACCAGATTATTAAACTGTGGTAAAAAAGGAAGTGATCATAGCTTAATTGATAGCATTTACTTGAAGACTGAACTAATCCTCATACCTGGGACCTGACTCGAATAGTTCAGTTCAAGTTTAGAAGCTCTAAAAGTTGTTGGTAGCAAAAGTCAGAGCGGGGAAGATGACAGAGGAAGGAGCAGGAGGTTAGGAAGGGAATTGTAGTGGGAGAGATAGTGCCGTGGCTTTACACGACTGCGTTTATTTGGTTAGCGCATAGCGCACGTATTTGGTTTTGTCTGTGTTGGGTGTGTGATCCTCGGGTCACCACTCCTCCGGATTGTGTTAGTTCAAGTTTAGAAGCTCCAACAACTTTCCCTGAATACGAATTCGCAACCTTTCGATTTACAACAGGTACCTACTTTACTGCTAGGTGAACAGGAACCAAAGGGGCTAGGAAGAGTATCCAAACAACTTCTGCTTGCCCGGGAATCGCACCCGTGACATCTTGCTTGCAAGGCAAGAGCGGTATGACTCGAATAGTTCTATTTACACGACAGAGCTGGCTAAGATAGGAAAGAGTCAAGTTAGGTTAGGTTAAGACCAATTTGCTCCTGGTATGGGATCAGAGAGTCTGTACAGTAATAAGAGACTGCCATTCTGTGTTCTCTATACTGTATATATTATAAGAATATTTTTTTTTTATGCTCGTACAAGATGCCTCTTTTTTTTTCTCTCTCAATCTGGTGCAAAAATTTTTCATTCTTGTTATTTCAGGTGATCGATGACTGGCCACTGCACCCAACACGAGGCATCAACACCACCATGACTGTTGGGGCATGCTGGCAAGGTATGTACATACCGGTACTGTACTGTGATACTCCACCCTTTGACCACAAGTGATGTGTCATAACCTTACAAAATCTGTCACCAGTTGTCATGACCTTACAAAATCTGTCACCAGTTGTCATGACCTTACAAAATCTGTCACCAGTTGTCATGACCATCTGTCACCAGTTGTCATGACCATCTTCTTACCATTACTAAAATAGGGACATACCAGACGGGAAACTTGGGCTGTGTTGTGGAAGGGAACACAGTAGGAAAACACATTTTGTAATCAACATGATCAAATAAACAAGAGCTCTAAGTTCAATCCACCTGAGAGAAAAGGCTGACTGATAAAAGGAGCAATATCATAATGAGTGCAATTAAAGAAGCAATAACATAATGAGTGCAATAAAAGGTGCAATAACATAATGAGTGCAACATTTATGGTAATTACATTAATTGCAATACTGTAAAGTACTATTAAAAGGTCAGTCATGTTAATATCTGCAAATGCAAGTTTATGAAGGAAAAAATTATATTGAATTGTGATGATTAAAGGTTTTATGTAGGTGTGTATGGAGTAATATATATACGTATTAGCAAAATATGTATAGATTATGTATGTATAATGTACAGTAGTATGCTTAAAACTTTATTTTTGTTCGTATGTTAGTAGACTTTGATAGATATTGTGCCCCAGTAATATACTTATTGCTTAAAGCTCTTGAGTGTAGTTTAGAGATGAGTTATAAGATATTAATGGTAACAGTGGAGAAAGTGCCTGTGCAGGGACCGATGCAGGAATATCAAAAGGAGGAGGTCCAAGAAGTTGTGGGTGGGGGAACATGGCGAGCAAAACGAGCCCACCCAGCTGTGGGGTTTTGGGGGACCGCTATAAACCCCCCCCCCCCACCGATTTATTTATTTATTTATTTTTAATCTGACCAATATCATGGCCATATTGAGGCCATGTGCGCTTGATATTAGGAGATATTCTGAGGTTAATAGTATTTACTTTTTACTATTAAGAAATCCCTAAGTGCAACACTGCATTAAAGAAAAAGTATAGGAATTTTCTAATGAAAGGCGGGTCCTGCTATGTGTAATGATAGTACGTAATAATAAACAGTTTATTAATAGAGTCGCAGCCGGTGGCTGAAAATATACAGACTTACATTTGATTTAGACATAATGATATACATTCATTACATTTACAGGGCTGTATAGTACATAAATCAGAAGTTGTTTATTATTTTAACAATAGATGGGATGATGCTGTTCTTATATCTATCAGTGCGGGCTCTTATGTATGTGTGTGTGTGTGTGTGTTCATGTGTGTGTGCGTGTGTTCATGTGTGTATGTGTGTGTGTGTTCATGTGTGTGTGTGTGTGTGTGTGTGTAATAATAATAATAATAATAATAATAATTAACGGTTTATTGAAAGAGCATGGCAACCGGAAGGCTGAAAATATACAATTACATAATTGGGGAATGGGTCTCTTGATTTACAAATGATATACAGGTAACATAAGTGATACAAATATGATATATAATAATTAGGTGTTGATAATTTTTACAATGGTTGAGACTGGGCTGTTCTTATAGCAATCAGTTAGTGCTTGTATGGGCTGGATGCGGTTGGGCAGGTGTGTGGCCACGTGGCCAGGACAGTAGCTTGGGACAATGCAGGTGTGCTCCATCCTTCAGGTTAGGTTAAGTGAAGCCATGAGGTCAGGTCAGGTTAGGTCAGATCCAGCCACACTCAGTATTACACTGCTGTGTTTTTGTGCTTTTCCTTGGAGTGCACTATAGGAACACTGTTTGGCAGTCAATCGTTCACTGATCACTTGACTGTTTTGCTGAATAAATCCCGGTGTAGTAAGGCTGGTAGGGCGTTGGGATATAGCAGGGGGGCAAACAGACTCTTCCTGGCTGCTCAAACTGGGAGCGCCTTCAGGCACTTCTTGTCTCGCTGGTGGTTGACAAGTGTGTTCATGTGTGTGTGTGTTCATGTGTGTGTGTGTTCATGTGTGTGTGTGTGTGTGTGTGTGTGTGTGTCATGTGTGTGTGTGTGTGTCATGTGTGTGTGTTCGTGTATGTGTGTTCATGTGTGTGTGTGTGTCATGTGTGTGTGTGTCATGTGTATGTGTGTTCGTGTATGTGTGTGTTCATGTGTGTGTGTTCGTGTATGTGTGTGTTCATGTGTGTGTGTGTGTGTTCATGTGTGTGATAACTATGGACAGAGCCAGAGTCACAGATAACACCAATGTCATTACTATAACAAAAGTGCTACACAAATCAATTTAAAAGCATGAGTAATCACATACAGTATGCACACCTTTATGATGTATGTGCACAGTAATTGAAATAAATAGTTATCAAAGGCTCGGTGTACAAAATAATGCGGGGCTTACAAAAGATTAATTTGCTTTTTGTAAATAAACTCGTGTACTCGCCCATGAACTGCATGGTATCACCAACAGCTAGACAAGAAGTACTCGTATTGTATGGTAGCCATATGTTAGGACAGTATCTCGGTAAAAGATAATTACGGTAATTGTTTTTAAATGTCGTGAAACGCTAAGGACTGGAGTAAGAAAAGTGATAGAATGGGTGACAAAAGAGTAACAGTTATTAATGATGGAGGGAAGAACTACAAGAGGAATGACAGAACACATGAATAGTTAATACCAGTAATATCTTGTCTCTTGTTTCTCAAAAGCACAAGTTCTTGTAAAGAATTCACTAGTGCTTGAAACACTACAAAGTCAAGGATCTGAGAATATAAAGAAATACACTGTACCTATACTAACACAGAAGATCACAAAAAGGGACAGTTTGACTTCTATCATAAGTATATCCTTAAGTTGTAACATTTCCTAAACCTTGTGATTCTGTATCACCGTACCTCTACAGGACTATGAGCTTTAATAAAAAAAAATGTCTTGTTTCTTAAAGGCCTCCACAGAAGTCAGCTGCTTCATGGAGGGAAGCAACCAATTGTACAGTCTGGGTGCTGTATAGGAAAATGATCAGGCAGCAAAAGAACTTTCCCAAAGTTGATCATATATGTGACCAAAGGTTAAGTGATAGAAGTAGGTAGGGAAGGAGGATAAAAAAATAGATGTTAGCTTCAACAGAGAAAGTGGAGTGTTTCACATATCTGGCAGTGGATGCGTATAACCTGTGCTAATTGGAACTTCAGTAAAGATTCTATTTATTTCATCTTTTTCCCCAGGATCTGAGAGCAACATGAAGCATGGCTTGACGGGTTACCTCGCTGGCTTGTCAGTACTAGTGGGAGCCCTGGAATCACCACGAGTCCTTTCTTGTCTCACACGCTGCCAAGAAGCCCTTGATACTCCTGCCATGGAACTCCTACAGCCTAGCATGGAGCTCCTCACCAACAATGGTACTGTACTGGTGTTTAATTTTTTTTCATTTCTTGTGTATATTTGAGTTATTGTTCACTTAAATCATAAGAAACTTACTACGGCAGTTAATAATGAACTGGTCTTTGTTTACAGAGATGACGCAGATCACCATTGAAGGTAATAATGTGACCAACTTGGAGACTTTGGTCCGGCGTGTTGCTTATGTTAATGGCAGAGACTTCCCCACACCTGGACGCCGACCCATCTCTGTTACCACCAACATTTTGTATGTATTACAGTACTTGAATTTAAACAATATGATAGTTACCATACCTTGTGCTTAATACTTTATGTACATGCCCTCAATAAAAAAAAATTCTTGGACCATAATTCTGAAATAGATATTCGAGCTGAGTGTGTGCTATATACTGTAGTAGGAAGTAACATATAATTAATTATTATTAATTTTTTTTTTACCTCTAAAGGTGTGATTCTGGAAAGGCATTGAAAGTAGCAACAGCCCAGAGCTTTGTGGTGGTCATGCAGCCCCATCAGCCAAGCATTGAACTCAACGGCACAACCAACTTTGCAGAAGAATACGAATCATTCCGTCAGGGTCTTCGCGTCTTCCCTGATGTCGCGGTATACTTATCAGCAGCTGCTGAGGAAGCCACTGCCCCTACCCCAGGAGGACAGCTGGACGAGTGTGTGGTCTCTGTCTACCCACCACTAAACCCCGACCATGAGACTTTAGTGCTCCCTGACAACCTCATTTCAGAACTAGGACTAGTATCATCTATCACAAGGCAGGGAGCAACCGTTTCTGGCGCCCACACTAAGTACCACTATCAGTCCATCCTTCGCCAGATTCATTATGCCAACCGCAAGCCTGCATATTACCTCAACCGTGCATTCAAGCTGTCATGCTCTGAACTAGGTGGCAGATTTACCAGCAATGAATACGTCCAGACGGTTTGTATTTTCTTTCTTGGTATATATTGCATGTTCTCTTTAAGGCCTTGTGACAACCTTTCCCAACTATCTTAACATTCTTTCCCTTGTCACTCCCTTCCTCCAGCTGGTACTCATATGTCCTCTTCTCATTAATGAACATCCAACCCCCAATTTATGCTTTTTGTCTTCTATCTTCTTATACTGCCCTTGTTGAAACTGCAGTCTGGACCTCTCTCATTCTTCCTCAACCCCTCCATCTTCACCCCTCATTAACATGTGTCCACCTTTCCTCAATCATTTCTTGTAATCTCTCAGCTACAATAGTGTTCGCACACATTAAGAATGGTGACCCACTCCTTGATCTACTCAAATCTCAATCCTGGAGAAGTCATCATCTCTTGAATTCAATTTGCTAATAGTCTGGTACAGGAGTGAAGCAGCCAACAGCCAATATTAAGTTTGTTCTAAAAGTAAAATGATATTGAAAGACCAAGACAACCCTACAAGTTTGCACAGGGGATATGGCAGAATTAAGAAAAATCAGTGGTAGAAGTAGGAACAAATAAGAGAAGTATTTACAGTAGAATTACTATATGTATATGCAGTAAAACAATTGCCTGGGTAGATAATGAGAGTGGCTGTAGAGAACTTAAAACAAGATAGCATTGGTGTTTGAGTAAATTGAATATGAGCTGGTAGACCCATGACAGTAGTCACATTAGATGTTTTAATTTATATCAAACACATTTCTTTCATGTTTTTCTAATTTTGTGTTGTTCATATAAGCTTAGAACAAATAATTAGTGCTCTAAGTATAAGCATCAATGTTTGAAAAGATAATTATACAAATTTAAAAAACATTTTAACAGGTGACAGTGATCCACCCCCAACTGAGTGTAGACAGGAGTGCAGGGCTCACTGGCAGTAGCAGCCCCATGTCCAACAACATCCCTGAGATTCCAGGGCACCTTAGCCACACCTCTCATAGCCAGGGAGCAGAGAATGGTGGCCCCCTCACCCATCACAACCCACCACCCGCACCAGCTCATGCCAAGATATCTTCTCACCATGTAGAGCTTAAGCCCGCCCATACTGTCAACGATGTCTACTTTACCTCAAATGTCATGGAAGGAGTGGCAGTGAATAGTGCAGGTAAGATCATTATTGCTGTGTTAATGAATATGACACGTTTTTTTATTATTATTATTATTTTTGTTTTGTGACAAGATATTGTATATGTTGAATTCCAATTACTGTAGTTAGTAACCTTCATTCTGGTTAGGCTTAGGGTAGGGTGTGTGAATTTCTATGCCATGCAAAGTAGTACAGTACAGTATACAGTACACTGTTTTCAAGTGCTAATTAAAAAAAAAGTACCTGTATACAGGCAAATTCATAAATCCAGATAATGTACAGCACAATTGTGGAAATAAAAATCATTTCTGTCTCACTGTGTGATATATTCTGGGTCTAAGGCAGCATTAATCTCTTTTCTTATTAACCAACCTTACTATAAGACAGCAGTAGTATAATGTACTGTATTACCATTTAATGCATTGTTTTGCCCAGCCTACACCCCATTTGAAGATGCAAAATGCAGTATGTTCTACTTAATTTTATAGGTCATTGGTTCATATCTACAGTACTTGAAATTTTACAAGATTTTGGCACTTGAGAACTCACTTTGTTTGTGAAAGCAAGATATAATTTTTATGGTTGCCTTTGCACCTGGAACTTAATGCATAATGGTGTGGTGTTGGATGCATAGATTATTCATAAAGCAATGGAAAGCTAACTTGAATTAGTAAATGTTGTGGTGTTTGTATACCATAGTTTTACAATGTTGGATACCCAGATTCTGTCTTGTAGAATGTGTATTCTTAATTTCACCAGTAATCAGTTGATGCTCCATTAGTTGTGAGAACATGACAGCAGCAGCCCATGAATTTTGAAGTTAGAGGTGGGCACAACAATTTGTCTTAATACCATAATCTCGAGCATTAATTGAGAAGTCATAAGAAATATTTTGTACATTATAGTACTCTGTTCTTGTATGTGTACTTAACTGTCAGTGTAGCAGTGCAGGTATAATGCAAATTATTTTGCTCTAATAGTTGCATTACAGTGATAAGTCATTGCCATATATTGTACTATTTCAAACATTTTATTTAGTGCAGAAGCCCAGACATCTAGATAATGATTATTTGGATTTTAATTTGTAAATCATGTGAAGAATATTTCAGCAAGATTCTGCTTGGGTGATTCACCACAGTGGTTTGTTGTTGCCTCATATTTTGTTATAGAAACTTTCCCAAATTAGCTTTGTTAATGATACATGTAGCATGAGTGTTACAAAACAGAACAGTGCCCATCAAGAGATATTTGAGATAAAAATGATTGTAGAGACTGATTTTGTATCCTGCTTATGGCCGACAGACCTGTATGGGGGTAGCAGGACCCAGGTGGCTGTGCTCGCTGCGGGTGAGCTCAACACATGCCATGCACCATTGGCTCTATAGACCTTTAATTTACAGCACTTACTTAGGGCTTGAATCCAGGCTGCCCCAGGATGGACTATCGAATGCAAGGCCTTGAAAATACTGTAAACACAGATTTTTAAGATGATACCCTGTACAGTAATTGTGTTTTAACTACAGGACATCTCTCTTTAGTATGAACTGAAATTTCGGCATATGTTTACATTTTATGTACCTTTAGATTCATTGTTATTCTTGGCTGCTTTTATACTAATGTGGAAAAAACAACGGGACATTTGTGTTGTAATGAAGATGTCTAACAACTTCCAGAACTGAAACTGAAACCCCTTCCCCCCTCCAAAAAAAAAAAAAATTCAATAATGAACTCAGCCTGGATTCTGCTCTTGCTTGCCTACCTTGCACACATGTTGAGAGCAACATACTGAGACAAGATAGATAATAATTCACATATCTTATCCCAAACTGTTCCAGTCATTTTAGTTCAGAGATTTAGTTATTTGCACAGATAGGTCATTAGAGTAATTGCAGTTTATGAAGTGGCAAGTAGTATTTATCTCCCTGCTCCCAAAGTGTCCCAAGTCAAGGTGGAAGGATGTATAGTGTAAGAGTTAGCTGTCAGAATATGAAATGTCGCTTATGACTGTAGTGTCTAAACCTTAAACAACGTAGGACCATTTCTCGTCACGGTACAGCATTGGGGAATTGTAATCTAGTGTAGTATTCAACCCCCCCCCCCCTCTTTTATTTTATAATTTGCTCCATCATTGATGTACATGAGTTAGATAAGGGAAGTTAGACAATTGACAGAAAGAAGTAGATCAACCAGGACCTACTGTAGATAGAGAATTAATACATGGGATCTGACCATTTCACTTCATTTTGCTGGGGAATTTCTCATTGCTCTTGCCCTTATACAATTCCCTCTTACTTAGGAAAACAATCAGTTCTGTTAACTTTGTTTTGCCACCATGTAGTAAATGTTTAATACTCACAGACTGTTTACCACGTTTTGTGATGAAGTTCGTCCAGCTGTTTATCTATCAATAGGGTTTTTCTTTTCTATTTAATAACTTTAGTGTTCCCCATACATTGTGTATGGTTAGTATATACAGGTACAGTATTAAATATGAGCTGTGGCCAACTAAAGAGGGTCTTGTATTTGCAAATGCTATACTGTACAGTAGAACATCAGAACTTTAGAAATCAATTATATGGGAGGCTCAGAAACTGGCATTTACAGAATATTATAAAATAGAAAATAGATATAATCAACTTGAAGCTCATGAACAGCAGAAGACACACCACCATGAACTTGCTAACATAATGGACAGTTGGGCTTATAAGTCTCATTTGTACCTTCGTTAGATTTGAATTTGAGGATGGTGAGATGAATATTAAGCTGGGTAAGAAGTTTTTATTTTCACCTTTGGCACTTAACAGCCAAACTAGAAATCAGATTTATACACTGACTAGGAGATGACCAACTCTGAATGCTGTATCAGCTTGTCATGGGACAGTACTGTACAGGTGCTCCTCTACTTACGAATGAGTTCCATTCCTGAGGCTTGTTCATACGTCCAATTGTTTGTAAGTCCAACTTTACTCTTGTAGATACCAAACATATTTAAAAAAAATGAAAAGATAATGGATGTTTAGTACAGCTATACCCTTTAATACAGCCTTAAAACCTGGCTCACTCTTCTCCTCTTTGGTAATGCATGTTCTAATCTGGAATTTTTTCAAAATAATCCAGTCTCATCCACATCAAACACCTGCTCTGGCAGGTAACCCCCCCCCCCCCCTCAGTAATGATGTTTGTATCTCTGAAAGTTTGTAAGTCGAATGTTCTTAAGTAGAGGAGCACCTGTATAATATGAAATGTGAATAAAAAGAACAGGGAAAGGCAACAAAAAAAAACAAACACAGGAAAAAATTGGTTCTTGCCAGTGTGAGATTGACAAAAAAGGTTATGAAGCCCAATATGGGTACAACTTTTTTTTATATATATATATAGATATATATTCAACAACCTCACCAGCCAGGACTCGAACCCTCGACCTTTTGCGTGTGACCAGTGATTGCTACCAACCGCGCCACAAGGACACCAAAGGCAATCCTAGACTTTGTTATATTTCACACAAAGCCTGTTCATATATATATATATATATATATATATATATATATATGTATATATATATATATATATATATATATATATATATATATATATATATATATATATATATTATATATATATATATATATATATATATATATATATATATATATATATATATATATATATATATATATATTGGTACAGTCAATGCTGAAAATTACCACAGCTTGTATTTACACAAATACATTATAATGAGGTGCAGAAATATTTGTTAAAGTACTTGTAACCAATATTAATTTCTCATCTAGTAGGATGCCATCCTTTAAGGTAAAAGATGGTGTAAGTTGGATTGGAAATAAGATGTGTCTCACTAGCACTGAGTATAGTGTCTTTCCCTAAAGTAGGATCAGATTATGTCTCTTTGATTTTGAAAACCAGTGTTACCTGTCTGCCATGGTGGTCCTTGCCAGAATTTACACTGTAGTTGAGTAGAAGATAAGTAGTGCTGCTCTCTGAGTCCTTGGGGTTAGTTTAGTACTAGTTGGTGTAGTGTTGGCAGAATGTTACTCACACCAGGGTCTGTCTCATTAATATCATCTTGCCAGCTATGCCTGCCTCTCACTCACAGCCAGCAGCACACAGAAGCTTCTCATTGTTTTAGCTAAATGTTCTCTATTTGTTTATTGTTAATTGTGTTACAGATCAAATATATTGTATGAGGGATCTCCTTCACTGTAATGATGGGATATTTGTAATGACTGATGTGGAAACAAAGTTGACTTTCCAGCTGTCATTCCTCTCAAATGCATTACATGGGTGTGTGAAGACTGTGTATGTTATCCATTATGTGATATTTGAAATTGCTTGAACTTAATTGGCTAATTCAAATTGTGTTGAGGCATCAAATTTGGTGCCTGCAATTTCTGAGTTTTGCTGATCAGCAGAGTACAGTAGTAGTGAAGAGGATGTGAGGTAGAAATATTTTATGGGATTGTGAACTGTACAATAATGTCAAGTTCTTTTTCAGATATGGGATAGAGAGGGAGTCAAAATAACTTGGTAGTTTGAGGAAACCCATAAGAGATTATAGTTAGTTGACCCTGTGCCTTATACTGTAACAAGTCTTAGTGTGAGATAATAGGTCAGCAGGTGTACTGACAGATGAAGGATTTTAAATGAAGCTGAACTATACTGTATTCCCTTTATGATCATCCCTCAACCCTGATGACCACCACCTTAGTATGCTTGTCTTTTCTTCCAGTCTCAATAATTGTTCTCAAAGTCATTTATTTTCAGTTTTCTTTTAAACTAAACAAATTTTAATACAGTACAATTGTATTAACATATAAATTGGATCAGCTCTAGTTTATCAGTGCTGCAGTTAGAATAGAAACAAGCAACATTTCATACCAACATTAATGAGAACTTACACAGATGGAGGATTGACACTGAAATTCCATTTTGTCTTGAGGTTACTCAAATAATGCCTACACTAATCCTGGCAGGTTTCAGGCCTTTAGAGACCCCAAAATTTGGTGACCTGGTAGTATCCACTGATTATATCTGCCATTGGGTCTATCTGACAATTACTGTACCATACTATAGTTCTTCCTTCCATCATAACCACATTCCTTAAAACAAGAGTTGATTGAAGGGGGGGGGGGGTGGTTCAGTAGCAAAGGTTGCCATTGAAGGTAGGAGGCTGATCCATAAATCCAACAGGTGGGTGAGGCACACAATTATTGACACCATGACTAATTAGCCTCCTACATTTGATGGTGACCTTAGCTTCTAGGGGAAATAGTTGTGATGGGAAAAAAGAACAAATTCACAAGGTACTGTAGTTCCATGGATAGATGAACTTGGAGGGTACAACCCAGACACTAGGCCTTAGGGCCCACCTGGGTGTCAGATATGCCAGACATTGTGTACACATTATGAGTTGCTTAGCTGAAGGGTGAAGTTATAAAAATACTTCAAGAAATTATTCAATATTTGTGCCACAATATGACCTTGTGGGGGTAAAATACATACAGCTGTAATTAAATTTGACACATTTTTAATTTTGTTTCTTAGTATAGTACTGTCCAGTCACATCAGTCCCACAGTGCATAATCCTGTCACAAAGCCTAAACTTGCTTATTGTTTCAAGCAAGTTTTGGTCTGCCAAATAAGAGTTTATGGCAGTTGAGAGAGCTGCTACTGTAATAAACTTCCTTTGTTGTGTGTGAAATTTGAAATTGCTAATTACAACAGGACATGCAGTGACCATCATCATCGTTGTGTGCGTGGGCTTCCTGGTATTTATGGTGGTGCTGGGAGTGATCCGCGTCCGTGCTGCTCACACACGTAACACACACGAAGATGTTGCTGATGCAGAGATGGCCTGGGATGACTCCTCCCTCAACATCACTGTCAACCCTATGGAGGTATGTGTTTAATATTTACCGAGACAAATTTAATCTATATTGCTGCATCATTTCCAGTATTGTGATGTAATGAATGAGGTGTTTTGTCCTTACTTGTAGCTGTTCAACAATTATAGATATTTTTTGCCTTGTGTTACGGATAGAGCTTGTATTGGAAGTACAGTACTTTGATTTTGTTTCTTGCTGAACACAGGTAAAGGTCAGGGTGACAGGATAATGCCTCTGCCACAATTCTAATAGAAAGGTCATAATTTGGCTTTACAAGGCATACCTACCACAATAAATGGACTCTGCCATACCCACAAACTCATGTTTATAGAGTACTACTTACTTTACAACACCTATAAGATGCTTACACTGTTACCCCCCCCTCTCCCCTGACATGTTTCCTTCTCTCCCATTACCACTACACACAGGGTAGTCAGCTGATAAGTTCTTGACCTTAATGGTGTTACTTAGGTCACGAGTTTTTATCATTAAACATATTTTTGGTAATATCTAGTCACAGGGCAATTTTTCTCTATTACTCATCCCAGGCATTTATGTTAGAAAATTTAGCTTAGGAAGGCGACATACAATCTTTTTCATCTTTTCCTTATGAAGTTTTTATTTAGTGCATTTCAGGCAAATATAAATTTCAATAGTTTACATTCATTGTTTCATCCACAATGTTTTTCTAACCATAATGTAAATTCACTTTTTTTTTTTTTTGCAGCAACAACTGGAGCTGGCAGAGACGCAGCGCTTGAGGGATGATGATGACGATGACGATGATTCTTCTGATGATGGCAGCAACTTCAATGATGACTTGGATTCCTCAGATGAAGATGAAGGAAAACCTAAAGAGCTGGAGTGGGATGATTCCACCCTCAAGATATAATTTTTTTCTAATTTTTTTAGTTGTCTTAACTGAAAACCTGCTTAGACACAGTGGGCTGGTTCATATAGGACAGAATGATCACATCCTTCTTAGAGACTAACTTGAAATTTTAATATTATTTTTAAGTTTTTTAAATCTAGAGTATTTGAGGAAAGCTTATAATTGCCCTTAACAGACTAATGAGACTGTACAGTACCAGCTTAACATACTAAGCATTCTCTTTTCTATGACTGGCTGGTCACTCTATCCTGCCAAGCACTGTAGATTTGCCATGTCGCCCAGATGACTAACCTTCAGAGAGATGATCTTGGGATGTCAGCTGTTGATTCATCAGTTCTGTACAGGGTCCATCATAAGTGTCTCAGAGAGTGTGGAGGATTATGCGTACACGATATTCTTATAAGAATATTACTCGCAAAAATTCCTGTCTTATGAATAGCCATACATGCCACTAGTTATTATCAGATGTTTTGTTATTAGCACAGATGTTTTAGGAATAGACTATATCACTTGCAAAAGATTATAAACTACCTGAACATTGATGGATATATACATTTATATACATATATATATACTATTGTGAAATGAAAATGGTTCAGGCAACTTTATTTGAATGATGAGGCAGCGTGTATCTTGTGTAATATAGTGTTTAAACTGATTCCACAACATTGTCACAAATTTCTGAAGCAGTTTCTCTGAAGACTATGTTGTCTTTCCAGCACTGAAAGTTAACGCTGGGTGATTTGCCTCCCAGTAGTACTGACTATTGAGAGGAGTGAAAAACTTTTTGACGAGTTGGAATTGGAGGTGGATCCTGGAGGTGCCACTTGGAGGACTCTGTATCCACTTTAGTCTGCTTATATTTTTGAAGGGTGTGGTGGCAGCTTGCACATTGCCGAACAAGAAGACCTGGCAATATTTGCACTGAATGATAGAAATGTTTACATATCTCAACCTGCCTATATTATTTGGTATCATATTACTTTGTAGAATAATCAATATAGCAAGATGTATGTATTTAGTAGTCCACTATAGTCTAAAAATGAAGTGTTTAGTCACAAGCTATGTAAAAAAAATACAATAATTTTGCTAATATTAATCTTTTTAAGGCACCAGAATGTGAATGACAAAGATATTGAACAAAGTGTCATATGTGTGATATACAGACTTGTCACTTCACAGAAAGCCTAAGCTGGCAACCAGACACAGGGATGGCTCTCCTACGTTGCACTATAACGATGTGAGGGAAAATGAGCCCTGTGGATTGTCAATGCATGGCCCATAGTCGCCTGACATGTCACAAATTTAGGCAAGAGGCATGTATTAAGATGTAATAATTATTTTCTTCATGTCTTCATCTGATATGTACATTTTTGTCTGAAGATAATGTTTATACTAAGAAGGCCTTATGTACTTAAGGAGAGTTAGGAGAAAATCAATAGGAGCTTGATGGCACACGTCTGTAGACCTCAGGATATCTTAGCCAGTGTGGGAGACCTGTCGCTGTGTTCACAGACTCCTCCTCTCATATTGTCATATATTAGCATTTGCACAGCAAATCTTTAACCCAGGAGTCTTCTGCTGGTTGCTTCACATCTATGCTATTCAGAAACTAACACATATCAATGCTTTTAAGTTTAGTTGTAATATTAATATTTTCTATTCCTTTTTAGCTCTTAATTAAGGGGATCAGTGAATGTTATGCATATAATTTGTGGATCTTCTGGCAGATATTGCATTTAGGTCGATATGAGAGGACAGTCTGTGTCAAAACTTTTATAAATATTAACCAAGTATCCTTTCCATTTTAACCTGAGTTTGAATTTTAAGATAACATCTGCTCCAACTCACAGTGGAAGACAAGGTTTATCAATTCAATATTTTGATTACATATCTGTATAAAGCTGATGCTTTAGCTGTAAATTTTAAAGTAGCTTCTTGTCTGACAGTGTGAGATGAGCAATAATTTGGTTATTTTGTGGTTGGTATGTATCAGAATACATGATGTATAATACAATAGTAGGCCTACTCTATGGACTGCAAAGCAGCAGACTCCTTTGTAATAATTTTCTTGGCTCTTATTTCAAGGACTGTAGTTATTTTAAGAATCAACCATTAAACCTAGTATTGAACTCATGAAATGGAAGTGTGCTAGCTGAAGCATTTAAAGTAGGCCTTCTAAATTTTGTAAATTCACTCTGTACAATGAGTCCCATCGTAAACCTTTCCTATGTCGCTTCTTCTCAATTGTACTGCTATCCTGACATGTACTTATGGCAGCATATATTTGCCAGGATATCTACAAGCTCTTAGATAATAACAATCAAAAGGTTATCCTACGTGTAAATGTGGAGAGGTTCGTGATTGCGATTCTTAGACTAGAAGTTTCCGTATAGCACATTTTAATATTAATAACACACAAATGTGTTTTATGGAAGTACTGTCCAAGGCTCAAAATCACTCATCACATCACAAATTGCATCAATCAGGGCAACAGTTGCCTTACTAAACAACTTTCAAAACTTGAAGTATAGTGTTAATATATTACATTGCAGTTTTAATATGCTGATCATTGTTAAACTATAAATAATGATTATTTTTATTAAACCACTGCTAATGGTAGAAGGTACACTATACCACTGAAGGTGCATAATTGATAGGTTTTGAAAGTCATCAGTCACACACCTGTTGCACTGTTTGGTGAGATTGTTAGCTCGTATATGAAATTCTCAGTGTTCAGAGTGTTGATGTAAAATATGTAATGAGTATGGATAATCTGTGACGAGTCGGTAATTGATCTGTAACATTCCGTTGTAGATGACAGCAGCTTTTTTGTTGTTTGAATGATAGACTTAAAGGACCAGGTTTTTTTGTTTTAAAGGCGGCACGCATCCCTCCCTAAAGAACAAAATTTAGTTCCTGTAATTGCTTATCATGTAGAATCTGTATAGAGCAGCATGCAGCAGTTGCTTGACAGAGATACATCAGCAACTTCATTATGTTTCTTTTGACAGCTCTATGCTTCTTGCTTGTGCTTTTATGAAAGTGACAGATAAGCTTTTAGTTAGCATAAACAGTTTTGTTAGGACTTAACCATGAACATGAATCATGATAGTTTTATTTTGATACCTCACAAAGCAAGATTTGCCAGGATTTTTGTAATGCAGCCGTTTGTAAAGGAACAACCGTGCACCAGTGACGCCAAACTACAAAAAAAGGAAGGGGGGGGCAGGGTACTGATGCTGGATAACTCCTTGAGGGTTGTAATGACTTCCAACTACAGTATTGTACAGTAATACTGTATTGTATCTTCTGTGTGAATATGTACCACCAATACATAATGAGATGACTTCAAATTTAGCTTTGATAATTGCATTGTAGTTAATGTCATCTCATCTTTAGCAATAACAAAATGCTTGTCAGTTTTTTTATATACATGGCAGTGTATTAGACATAGCAATAATCCTCTTTGATCATTAAGGTCAAATATATCCTAAAGTTTAAACTTTTGGCATTTAAAATATTTTCATTCATGGATGAAATTTTTACAGTTGAGTTGAACTTTTAAAAATTACAGAAATTTAAGTCAACTCGGTCTTTGAAGGTCCTTTTTGGCGGCGCTGGTGAGACAACACACACGAAGGGTTGGGATGGCGCTGGCCGCAGGGTGTAGGCAGTCTGCACAAAACCCCTGGCTTATGTAATCCGTCATCAATAAAAACCTACACCCAATAAAGACTGTCTGTGATCCTTAACTTTTATATATATATACTGTATATATATATATATATATATATATATATATATATATATATATATATATATATATATATATATATATATATATATATATATATATATATATATATATATATATATATAAAATGGTTGCCCTTTACTGTATATTCAAGAGTGGTCATCCTTAGGGCTATAGTGGCAAGAATTTGTTTAAGATATAGAAACTGTCGCCAACAGAACAACCACACCTTAAGTTAATGAGCTGTTTCACCCAGTGCCAAAGAATAATCTAAGAAAACTGGACAACTCACAAGCTGCACTGGTTAATCATTACCCAGAGCACAATTAACAAAATGATTAACATCCAGGTTTCAAACTACATGTACTGTACTGTTGGACATAAAAATACTTACTCAAAGATTCACTCATCTCGGATTGAACCCCAGGTCCACTTCCTAGCATACTGTCCATTACACCACAAGTTATATAGACTGTATACACAGCAACTGGTCATTTAGGTTGTCAAGGCCGAACTATCCAACAGCTTAAACATCTTTTAGTCCAGGAAAATGGTGAATGAATTGTGTACTTCAGAAAAGCAGAGGCAGATCCAGGGGGGTCTGGACCCCCTATTCATCAGAAAATTCCAACACTTATTCTTTAATGCAGTACTGTATTGTACTCAAGCATTTTTGTATTGTAAAAAGTAATTACCGGTACTACTGACCTTATAATATCTCCTAATATCAAGTGCACATGACTTCAAAATGCCCATGATATTGGTTAGATTTAAAAAAAAAATGTATAGGGGGGCTTACAGCATCCCCAAAAATCCCCAGCTGGATGGGCTCGCTGTGCTCACCATGTAACCCCCACCCAAAACTCCCCCTCCCCCCCCTTCGATATTCCTGAATCCACCCCTGAAAAGAAGCAGGAAATTATCAGAAAAGATAACGTTTTACTAGCTAAATAAAAATAGATTTAGGGCCATTTGAAAAATCCAAGATGGGCACCATTTTATAAAAAGTTCCCTGAAGTATTCTGTATAAACTGTAGATTATGTGTTAAAAGGAGTGAAACCCTCTTACATTATAAAGTTTCATTATATGAAAGAATTTTGATAAAAGATCTTTTGAGAAAAACAAGATGCCATTTAAAAGATTCTTACTTCAATCCTGCACATCTTTCATGGACACTACACGCTCTTGAAGTAACAATGTGTGCTCTGTACAGTATATAACCACCCCTTTGTACTCATGAAGAAGAGCTATTTGTTATATGTGTGAAACCTTCCAGAAGCAGATTCATTAAACTTTGAAGACTGGCATTTGTGAGAATAGGATAGAGTCAATAATTTCATTACTGGCCACTGACACTATGAGTTGGATGGTTTAACTTTTGTGCAGTCTTTACATGAAGGAAATTTCCAGCTGTACAAGGATGCTATAACAAAAGTTATTCCATGGTTTTTTTTTTACTTAGATCGTCCACACTATTATCATTGGCTACCAGTTCACCTGCATGATATGCCAAGGAAGCATCCAGATTTGGCCAACAAGTTTGACAGTGAGAACTTCGAAGTCTATAAATCGCACAGCATATTCTGGAATTCCAATTGATCAAGCACATGAGTAAAACAGCAGGTGAGTCAAAGGAGACGGAGGAGCCATAGGGCTGACTGAAGGCTGTTCTGAATTACTTTGATGGATGGTTTCTGGACCATAAATAATAAGGATAATTGGTGAGTTTGAGGCTGCACAGGAAACTTATCACTCAGACACTGAGTACTGAACACCCAAAACAGGTTCAAAGTATTAAGAGCACATTTGAAAAACAGATAACAGCACTGCATACAGTATTACAGGTAATTAAAAAATGGGAAGTCCATTTATGGAAGAAAGCCAGGCCCTGTTGGTGTAAGACACAAAAGATATTGTTGGCCATAAATTGATAGTTACCATACAGAAAATTGAGCAGGTTGAATAAAAGAATTTTGCATGACTCGTGGAAGATCCAATTTGCACGAACTGATTACTGCTCTTCAGCTGCCCACCAGTAAGAATTATATTAAAGTTCCTTTGACACAGGATAAGCTAAAGATTGACTCAATAAAAACTTTGCCCTCTTCTCACAGCTCTATCGCCCTTATTATTAAACATCTTCTTCCCTTGAACAGGGTCGTCGTGTTTCAACCCGAGTTTTAAACTAAATGAGTCCTGAGGGACACCCCAGTACAGTACTTAACGGGGTGGTGTGGAGGTAAAATTAACTAATTCCAATATTATAAATTAATTTTATTGGAATTAGTTAATTTTACCGCCACACCACCCCGTTAAGTACTGTACTGCGGTGTCCCTCAGGACTCATTTAGTTTAAAACTCGGGTTGAAACACAACGACCCTCTTCAAGGGAAGATGTTGTTTAATAATAAGGGTGACAAACCCTCAGGTACCACATGATGTCGAAGTTCTGCTTCTCAATGGAACTGTTGCTGTGAACTTTTTAAAACCAGGTGCTTGCAAAACTTTTCTTGAATACGGATAAAATGTCTTTATGAAATAATTTATGACACAGATGCAGAATGAGAGCAAAAGGCTTGACATCATCTGGGATAAATATATCCCTGATAGCTTGAAAGAATGTACCAAGAGAAAACAAAGGAGACACCCAAGTGTACAATATTTAACTTGAGTGTTTGAACAAATACAGTAATGATGTAGAGGGATGGCACAGAAGAATTAACACAATTAACACTTGGCTGTGCAAATGAACACTTGTACAAACTCAGAATTACTACACTTAGAGCCCTCACTGGTACTCCTACAAATCCAATTCGTGAAAGAGTGTAGGAACATGCAGGGTAGCCTGTTTGATTTATGTAACCGATATATAAGTAAAGAAATAAAGACATTCCAGCTCCTGTCTGCATACACCCACCTCACAGTGCCATATTTAGAATGAATGACTTGTACAGTATAACTTGTTTTAAAGGATTTTATTCTTTTGTAGATTTGATATATAATTTTTATTTTTTAATAAATTGTATAAAGTAATTCTTTTGAGGACATGGTAACTTTATTTATTTTGATTCACGTATAATTTGCACAAGGAAGACAATGAATAATGTTATTCTTTTAAACTTACTGTATTATCTTTCAACCTAAGGAATCCTGTGGCTTAATCATCTTTCAGCCAAAAAGTCTTACGACCTAAACATTCTAACGGCCAAAACACCATACAGTCTAAAAGTCCCTATTTTGTACATACACACACACACTACTACTACTACTGTACTACTACTTCTTCTACTAATACTTTTTTTTTCATATTGGCCTCCAGCCTCCCCCAATAGTACTACTACTACTACTTTTCTGTCACTTGTATTCAAGTAATGTATATAACGATCATCCAGCTATGATACAATGATATGAGTTATTAAAGATGTCAATTTGTTGGTGAGCTCTGAGGTGACTAAATGAAGTCGGTACGGGACTGGCAGGGTCGTCCACAGATGTTACATGTGTGGAGGGCTACATGTAGTGCGGGAGGAGCGGCGGAAGCGTCTTTCCGGCGTTGGCGCTTGTCTGTCTCGGTATGCAGTCGGACTAACTCAAAAGTATTGACACTTTCTTGTGTCGGACTTCTCCAAACGTTAGGGTGTGGAGTAATCGTCTCCCAGGTCTCCCAGGTGAGGGGGTCGATTTGGCACTTTTTCAGGTTTGTTTTAAGACTATCCTAATACTTTTTCAGTTCCCCACCACCATTACGTTTACTATTCGTTAGGTGACTGTAAAGCACTGTAGTTGCGTTGGCAGTCTACTGTCGTTCATGCAAGTAACATGGCCAGTCCTGTGTAGTTGTTCATGGATAATGACAGCCTCCATGCTCCTACAGTTATTGTTGTAGGTGATCATGGTTTTTGTTAAATAAAGCCTCATCTTTTAGAACTTGGCTTTTACTACAGTGGGTACTGCCACAAACCTTTGAGCTTGCCGGCCTGCCTAAACAAGGTACAATGTGTTGGTGATAGTGAGGTTGTGTGCAGCACACTTGCTGAGGAGTAGGCCGTTGGGATTACATTTGCCTAGTCTATTTCTCCCTATGATTTTCTACCAAATGTCAGCATCTCGGCCAACTCTGGCATTAAAGTCATCTAGGAGCACAACCTTATCTTCTCTGGGGATAGAGGTTAGCACTTTGTTAAGGTCGACATAAAAGGCCTCCTTGATCATCCACTGACACACACACAGTAAATCTTCAGTATTCATATTTTCTGGTGTTGCTGTACCTGTGATGTCTTAAGATAGAGAAATCGTATATTAGTATTTCATGTATAGACTTTGAAGATGTTAAAACTACAGGTAGTGCTTGTTTGGTTGTGGACTAATTTCAGCGGGATCGTTGGCGAAACATCGAATCTTATGATTAGTTTTCGTTAATAACTTTCCATTTTCTGTGAACTAATGATGGCTAGAAGTAATCTAAGTAAATGAATAAAACTATAGATGGTGGCCAATCGTGTATGATGCTTGTTCTGCCATCCAGTCGGTAAATAGATAGTGATTTTCATATGGATCAGTAAAGCGAACCAATAAATTAAGGAATCGAAGCACCTCCAGGGTTTGGTAGGCAGTCGTCAATCGCCACTGATTATTAAGGTACGGCAATGGTGGAGGTAACATGTGTGGCTGTGTGGTGATACAGTATTTGATGGCTATTTCTGGGTTTTACGTTCGCTGTTTGTGGATTTCTTCGTGACTGTGGCACCATAAGAGCTTTCAGGACTATACATTGTGGTAATAAGCAGTTGAGTGCAGGTATGTTGATAAAAAATTTTTGTTATTGTACTACGGGGTCCAGGAAGAGGGAGGCGGTTGTGGGGTATGGGTTGTTGGGGTTCACACTCAGGATGGGATGGAGAAAGGAAACTCACAATGTGTTCTCTGTATACATATTGTATTGGATGTACAATGCAGCTTGGTGCTGGGAAGTGG